CCTGTCCTTCTGCTCTAAAAAGTGGTTATATCACAGGGACTGCCATTCTCTAAAGCTGCACTAAGATCTTATGTGCTCAAAAGCCAAAGATACAGCAGATGTCTGGCTCCATGTCAGCAGTAAAAATTCTGTACAGATACAAGCGATGCCTGGCCGTCCCTCAGTGCTAAATGACTTGTTAGAAGCGTGCAAGTTCTCACTGTTGCTTAGCTGTAAAGTACATGGCTGAAGCGCCCGTAATGATGCTACGTTCAGCCAAGACCAAGTATGATATTGTGAGGCTGGTGATTTGCTGACACCAAGATGCATGGAGTGTGTCCATTAACCATGAAGTTACCTTGTACAGAAACTAGATGGCCAGCACAGGCATTCCATAAGCTGCAGTGGATGCTGATGAGACAAGTTGCCAGAAACCTGCTCTCTTTTACCAGTTTTACTGGACTCTTTTTGCGCTGTTGATTTCAATTGCAGAGGGGAAAACTAGAAGTGTGATGTTAATAAGAAGAGTTGGGCTGATACTGAGGTGCAAATACATGGATAGAAGTTTCTCACCACCTAACAGCAAGACTCTGAACTCACCATCTAAGGACTTAAAAGTCAGGTAAGTTTTTCTCAACAGCAAGAATCAAGTTTTGAATTGGTTAAGTCTTCCCACTTGCCATCATTCCCACTAATTCAGAAGGGAAAATGCCATCCAAAATGTATCTATGGTTTTCCCTTTCAACTTGTACGTTTTGTATTTTGTATGTTTTTCCCACAATTTGCGTACTTATTGTCCGTACACGCAGAATGTAATTTAAATAGAGCCTTTATTCTTTTTCCTCTCACACGAAGAGCTAAAGAAAGATTTGAGGTTCCCAATTTCAGAAGTGCCAAAAATCTTCCACTAAGAGCTGAGGGATCGATTGTGCCTCATTTGGCTGCCTTTGCCCACATGGTGTTAAATCGAGAGAAACAGAACTTGGAAGTGGAGTTTTCCAAACTCAGGTAAACAAACAGTTCTGGTCCAGAGAACAGAGATCAGAGATCAATTCTTGGTGACCACATGAATAATATTAACGTATCTTAAGCTTAATATGGGTTAATCACATTTGTAATTCATGGAGAATTATGGACAAGATCTTTATGTTCACATAAATGCTGAATAGATGGCACTGCAAAATTTAAAGAATGGTTTAAAAATATCAGAGTAATTTCTGTATTTCAAAGACACACCAGGAGACAATGGAACAAAAGATAACTGCTCTCAGATTGGTGAGTGGAGCAGAGTTTTGTTCACTTTCTAGCTAAGGCACAGAGATTAATCCCTGACCCATAAAGCTCAAAATGGGCTCAAGGTGAAAAGTTTTGGTTGATCAGAGAAAGAATACTAAGACATTGTATTGACCACATTCAGAGAAAAGGAGCAATTAAACCTTGCAAAGTAGAGTTTCAAGGCTGGGGACTTGACGCATGACTGTGCTTGCAGGATTTAGAGAATGTCCTGTTCAACAAATTCAAAATAGTGAAGAGCACTAATAATAACGGAGATTGAAAACAAGGAATGTTTGGAACTTTAATTGGAGAAGAAAAAAGTTAAAAATGATGATGACAGTAATTATAAAAATAGGCTATTTCTTGTTCTTGTAGAATCAATTGCTAGAACAAAATTGAAATGGGGACGGTTGGATCACATGATCAGCACAAACCAATCAGCACTGTTGAAAATTATATTCTTATGACCATTTTTTAAAAAATAGTGACAATAGATATGCATTGTCAGATTTAATAAATTACAGTTGTAAGATTGTTACCTCTTCAATTATTCTTGACCATTTTTTCCAGCAGGTAGTCTGAAACCGGCAGAGAAAACTGGAAAGTTAGCAACGCAGCAATGATGTAAATAACAATTTTTAAAAATTCTGTATTTTTAAATTGTGAACTGAATAGGAAAAGGCATGTTGTACAACAAAGGATTGAGGAAGAAATTGGTGCACTTTTAAAAAGAAACCAAAACTCATTGTAAGTTGTGTTTACACTGTTGTTTTGTTCAAACAGTGGGGGTGGCTGTTTGCAGACAGGCCAGGACCACAGGGTGTATATAAAGTGAGATTCAACTAGAAACAGATTATTGATTGATTTTTGGACTTATGGTCAGTTGTGGATGACAAAGGCCATCAGCCTGACAACAATCTGATTGGCTCCTGGGTAACTAAACAGCTTATGGGTATGAACAATACTAGCAGAAATACTCATACTGCTGAAAGGTCACATGGTACATCTTTCTCTTCAGGAAAATACCTGAAGTCTGAAGAAAGCCAGTTTAGTTTACCTCACCAGCTGCTGTAAGAGCGGATTTTTAAATCAGTAACTAAGAAACTTTGTAGTTAGTGTAATAATTGCCTGTAACTCCTGCAAAGAAGTGAAAAGAACTTGGAGAGGCGAGTTTGAAGAGGAGAAAATCCTGGTAAGCAAATGGTCATCTCCATAAACCTGTGGACTGAGGCATTGAATATCTTCCCCAATTTCTTTTTAAACCTTCCACTCATGACACCAATGTTTCTTGTGTATGTGTCCATGTGTGTCTGTGTGTGGGTGGTGTTAGATGGAGGTTAAAGTTTCAACTAGTAAAGCTATATGCCGACAGTTCATAGTTGTTGTTAGGCTGTGGTTAAAATTTATTTATAAACAATTGTGGCTCTTATTAAATACTGAAACGTAGATCTATCTGACAGGTAACTGGAACTTTCTATTCTTTGATAACATTTTTAACAGCTTTGGGAATAATGTGAGTTGATTTTCAGCACAGTAGCTCAGCTAGATGTGACAATGATAAAAGCAAAAGGGTCTTCTCTTTAAACAATGCTGAATTGTCATAGTACATTAAATTCCCAATAACAACTAACAAACAGCTGAGAGGGCATAAATAATCAGTGCTTGTATGTGTAAGAAATATTTACATGATGAATAAACTTTAGGTCCCTGTACTGATCCAACAGCTACACAGTACGTCTAATTGTGACAGCTAAATGAATCACTAGTCCAGCATCCCAAAAAGCCTGCTTACAAAGTGTTACAAGAAAACTCTCTGAAATTCAGAAAGGTTTCAGAATGTTCAGCAGAAGGAACCAGGCTTAGGAACAGCGTATTTCAAGTACAGCTAATACAGAACAGTTTGAACAGCTTCCAGAGATACATCTGATTCAAGACAAATCTCAACTTTAAGAGCAATAAATTGAAGACTAATATTGATTTGTCTCGGTCATAAAACTAATCTTCAATGATTACTGTAGTTGGATGGATGGGGTTATGTTAAACTGAAACCAGCTTCTAGTGGGCACTTCAAATTTCCGGAGTTAAACCTTGACAAACAGTCATTGGAATTGAATCTACGAGTGCAAGTGAACTGAAACAATGGGCTAAAGGGTTCTGAGTTCTGAGGAAGTGTCACCGGGCCCGAAACGTTAACTCTTTTTTCCTTCACAGTTGCTGCCAGACCTGCTGGGCTTTTCCAGCAACTTTGTTTTTGTTCCTGATTCACAGCATCCGCAGTTCTTTCAGTTTCAATAGGCTAAACCTTCTGGTTTACCAGAGATCAGGCTGAAATGTGCACTGGGACGCTGTTGAAGTCCTGGTGTTCGGACCGACTGGGAATTGCCCAGGAAGTTTAAACTTCTGCCACCCCCGACGGGACTGCTCCATTCACAATCCCCCACCCCAGCATTTGCTGATCTATCCACATCCTATGGTTTAAGCCACATCTCCATTGCTCTGTACTGTGTGCATACTCCATCATATGACTCTGCATATTCATTCTGCATATAAACATTCAGCACCACCCAACCTGCACCTTTGATCGACTTGATCACTTTCCATTCACCACATACTGTAATCACACATCTTAATTGAAACTCTAACGAGGAATGTCAAAATTTCACTTCATTTTCTACAAAGTCCATATGGAAAGATGTTTTTACTTGTTGTATTTACTTCTATACCGTGAATAAAGTATATTTTTGAAATTTTAAAAAACATCTTACACAAGGGTCTCAAGGTTCTCCATAAGAGCAGAATTAGGTCAGGTGGCCCATCAAGTCTGCTCCACCATTCAATCACGGCTGGTATGTTTCTCAATCTCATTTTCCTGCCTTCTCCTTGTAATCGTTGACCTCCTCAGTAATCAAGAACCTATTTTTCTCGGTCTTAAAGACACTCAATGACTCAACCTCCACAGCCTTCTGCAGTAATGAGTTCCACACAGTAACCACCCTCTAGCTGAAGAAAATCCTTCTCATCTCAGTTCTAAAGGGTCGTCTCTTCACTTAGTATGTACGTCAGGTCCCGGTCTCCCGAGTACATAAATTACAGTAGATTTTTCTACTTAATTATAAATAATATTGAAGAAAAATCTATGCATACAAAATGTGACAAAGTTGGAAATGTATTATATTCATATTCCTTAGTCCAACTATCTTCGGTCTTCAACCTGACTTTGCACAAAGAATGCTTTCGGTGCTGACTTGGGTACATCTGACACTGCAGGAAATTCAACAGCACTGTTAAAAATCTTGACATTTGTGTACACTTCCTCTCAATAAATTTTCCACAATATAAACTCCCAGTCCAGTTTTTGGGACGTCCTTGGGGAACCTATTCTTGGAGTAGTTAGAATTTTACTTAATAAACAGAGTAAATACATGCAATTCAGAAGGGCTGGAATACCAAAGCATTGTACTGTGATAAAATCAGTCATATTCATTCTAATTTTTCATGACTTCCCAAACATAAGGACAGGCGAAGGTCATTCAACTCAGTGAGCCTGATCAGCTATTCACTTAGATCATGACTAATCTTTTTGGAGCCACAAGACCCCTGCACTTAGTAAGTTTCTGATATATTGAATACATTATAAAAAGACTTCTGCTGTATTTGCAAAAATGCTGGCAAACAGATAAAAACATTTGAACATATCCTCACAACAAACAGTAATCAATATTACTCTAAAACAGGCATCCGATTACCATGTTTGGCATTAGGCAAGGCAGGTTTTGAGGGAGAACTGATGCCAGCAATAGTTTCCTGCTTCTGGTTGATGGTGGAGATAAAGCTGCAAAAAGTTGGAAAGTGGACTTTGGGTGCTCTTTCAGATCCCTGCAATAAGACAAGAAGTACCTGATTAAAAATAACTATTAGAGATTTTAAAACCATTAACAATGAGGAACTCAGGTAATTGATAACACTCACAAGCAACTAAAACACAAAATTACATATCAAGCTACTCCCCACATGGACCATAAAAGACTTTCACTGTCAGTCATCCGAGGACACAAACAAGAAGTTTCAATACAATAAAATGTAAAGAAATATGGCACAAAATGCAATATAATATTAAACTAATCACAACCATGTAACCATATCACACTTGTTATGCTGTCTGTGTCTCTTTCTTTTAGTAGTATTTTAATAACCGTTACTGGAAATAATGGATGCCAGAAAGTGAGATTACAACTGAAATCCAAACTGAGGATTTGCAGAAATTCAGAAAATGCCTTTCTGAGGTAAAAATTAAGAAAACGGGAGTCAAGCTGTACTTAAGACTGATAAATCACCAGATTTTTATGGAATACATCCACAGTGCTGAGGGATTAAAAGGGTGGAAATTGCAGAAACACTGTCCATAATTTTCCAACCTTCCTTAGTTATAAGAGTGACCTCAGGGGGTTTGAAGAATTTTAACTATTATGTCCTTAATCAAAAAAAAGTGGTGTCAATGTGAACTCAGTAACTCTAGGCTAGTCAATCTGTTTAACCCAGCGATGAGAAAGCTTTTAAATATAACAATCTGGATAAAGCAACAAGCACTCAGACAAGAATGGATTACATAAAAGAAAGACATCATGGATTTGTTAAGGACTAATTGTGTTCAACTAACAACTTGAATGTTTTTTTAAATGAGGTTATAGCAGGGCCAGTGAAACCATTAGGCAAAGTAAATAGTTACTTTGAACAGCAAACTTTGAAGGATGGGGGAAATTGGTTGAGCTATTCACGAAATTACACAAATAATCATCAGCTGCCATCTAGATCTACCGATATACATTCACATACTCTGACAGACATAGATTTACATGAATTTACATTGCAGTGTTTCACAAAACACATATATTCCTCATTCTGTTTAAATAGTTTTAGAAATTTGTATGTCCACATAACTATCACTAGATCACTCCAAAACCAGTAAATAATTACTGTAATGGTTAATGATTTTATAAAATTGTGTATAAAATCAACTAATAACTTGTAGGAATACAATATTATGCCATATGAGCCATTTTGCACATTATAAACTACATTATGTGAAAAGTGCAAAGCAATGAAAATGTACAATCAGTAAAACATTCTCTTCTTACATGCAAACCAAACCTGTAATTATAAATGCTGAATTTTATTCATAATAATGCACAATATTAATTATTGTATGTTTGGCAGGGATATTCAACTAAATTTCAACTGGGGCATCTAATACTCCCAAGAATAGTCCCCGAGTAACAGAGTTCATATGCCTGCTATAGTATATAGAGTCATAGAGCTGCACAGCTTACAAACAGATCAAACTCATTCATGCCAACCAGATATCCTCAATTAATCTAGTCCCATTTGGCAGCATTTGACCTAAATCCCTCTAAACCCTTCCTATTCAAATACCCATCCAAGTGCCTTTTAGATGTTGTAATTGCACCAGCCTCCACCAATTCCTCTGGCATCTGATTCCATACACGCATCACCCTCTGAGTGAAAATGTTGTTCTTTAGGTCCCTTTAAAATAAATATTTCCCTTCTCACCTTAAAACTATGCCATCTAGTTTTCGACTCCCCCCATCCCAGGGAAAATACTTTGTTTATTCACCTCATCCATGCCCCTCATGATTTTCCTATGGCAGGGAGACCAGAATTGCACGCAGTATTCCAACAGTGGCCTAACCAATGTCCTGTACAGCCACAACAAGACCTCCCACCTCTTACACTCAACACACTGACCAATAAAGGCAAGCATACCAAATGCCTTCTTCACTATTCTGTTTACCTGGGACCTATGAACCTGCACTCCAAGGTCTCTATTCAGCAACACTCCCCAGGACCTGGCCATTAAGTGTATGCGTCCTGCCCTGATTTGCCTTTCCAAAATGCAATACCTCACATTTACCTAAATTAAACTCCACCTGCCACTCCTCAGCCCATTGGCCCATCTGATCAAGGTCCCTTTGTACCCAGAGGTAATCATCTTTGCTGTCCACTACACTTCCAATTTTGGTGTCACCTGCAAACTTACTAACTAAACCTCCCATGTTCACATCCAAATCATTTATACAAATGGCAAAAAGCGGTGGACCTAGCATCAATCCTTGTGACACACCACTGGTCACAGGCATCGAAAAGCAACCCTCCATGCCCACCCTCTGTCTTCTACCTTCGAGCCAGTTCTGTATCCAGATGAGACAACAAGGTGTAGAGCTGGATGAACACAGCAGGCCAAGCAGCATCAGAGGAGCAGGAAAGCTGACGTTTCGGGTCTAGACCCC